TGCCCCTTTCTAAAAAAAAATTGAAATAGATGGTCTGTCCTTCATATTTCTTTTTCATAGCCAAACTTGACAGTATCTTAGGATACAAAGAGAAACACAACAAATACTTATTTCCCACTTGACGGTTAACGGAAACAAACAAAACAACAACACCAACACATCACATGTATAAGGAACAGGAAAAGTGCAACACCCTCATCTGAGTCCTACTGGAGAAGAAGGTGGAAAGCGGCGCATAATAATAATAGCCTAATAATAACAATAACAATGGGACCTGCAAATAAAGAACAGACATCACATCAAAGACATCAACAATATTTACCACTGCAGGACCAGAGTACATCGACTTATTCACATTCTGCTTCATATAGTCCCAGTTTTCTTAATTTATACAATTTCTTTAACTGAAAAATACACATACAATTATTTAGATCCTTCTGTTGAGAATTCCACAATTTTACACCAACCACCGAAATACACATTTGAGTAGTCCCTGCATAAGGATGCTTAAAATTAAATGTCCTTCTGTGGTCTTCCTTGTCTGATCCAAAAACAAACAACTGTTGTAAATAAACTGGTAACATTCTGCTTCTGCTATACACGAAGAATTGCATGAAAAATCGGGAAATAATATCAACATTCAGAGGCTTTTTTTGTCATATGCACAATAGATAAAGTGTCGTTTTTGTCACTGAAAATCTAAGGTCCTATGCTCCTATAATAATAATAATAGATTAATTTTGTTAGCGCTTGCAGGTGCTCAAAGACGCTTTACAGATATAGTGAAAAGAAAAGAACAACAAATAAATATATATAGTTGAAGTCAAATTAAAATCAAGCGATACAAAAACAATCACACATTAAAAGCCAGATTGAAGAGGTGAGTTTGTGTGAGTGCTTTGAAGGTGGTGAGGTCAGTGCAGTCTCTGATGGGCTGTGGGAGTGAGTTCCAGAGGGAGGGGGCAGCGACGGAGAAGGCTCTGTCCCCCCAGGTCCGGTGATTGGTGCGGGTGGGGATGGATAGGAGGTTGGCATCTGATGAGCGGAGGCAGCGGGAAGGGGTGTGGTGGTGCAGCAGGTCTGTGAGGTGGGGAAGGGGTGTGGTGGTTCAGCAGGTCTGTGAGGTGGGGAAGGGGTGTGGTGGTGCAGCAGGTCTGTGAGGTGGGGGGGGGGGGGGGGGGGGGGGGGGTTGTTGAGGGCTTTGTAAGTAATCAGGAGGACTTTGAAGTGGATTCTTTGATGGACGGGGAGCCAGTGGAGGTTCTGGAGGACGGGAGTGATGTGGTCTCGGGAGCGGGTGTGGGTGAGGAGGCGGGCAGCAGAGTTCTGGATATGTTGGAGTTTATTGAGGAGGTTGGATAGAGGATCCTATAAGAGTGCAATATACAATAAAATATACAATAAACTTAAGAAATTAAAACAACTGCATCATATAACAAATATATAACTGTTAGAATAAGAGCCAACATGACGAATGAATATTTATTTTGTGTTAAAAGTATTAATGCCACACAGCACTTAAGGATAATATATGTGTAAAGATTATTAACTATATTGTTTATATTTTATTATACTATAATAAACTTAAATTCTTTATGTTGTATTCCTATTTATCATAGTGTAGCTACTCTTACCTGATTTATACTGTGTTTTTAGTATTGTTCTTATTGCTGCTTTTATACCCGAGTTGCCATATGGGGATCACTTCATACATTTTTAATTATAACTTTAATGAAACAATTAAAGGACCACCAAAGAGACCCTGTTTTTACTCTTGCTGTAAAAAACTGAACACACAGTCCGGCAGTGGCTCAGTCAGTAGGGGCTTGGACTGGGAGCTGTAGGGTCGCCGTTTCAAGTCCCTGACCAGACCTAAATATGGAGTGTGGACTGCTAGGTCCCAGTTCGGCTCCTGCCCTGCCATGGTGCCCTTGAGCAAGGCACCGGACACCCCTCCTTCCCTCCTCACTCCCATTGCTCCCTGGGCGCTGTACAATAGCTGCCCACTGCTCCTAGTGCTAGACTCCTGGTACTAGGATGGGTTAAAAGCAGAGAACAAATGTCACTGTGTGCTCTGCATGTGTGACCATTACCTCTCATTCTACTCTATTCTCATCGCTGCATCAGTAACTTACAGAGTGCACCTGAAGGTTGCATTCTTCTTCTTTTACATCAAACTTCTTCATCGTCCATCCTCCACGTCTTGCTCTGCCTCTTTATTCGAAGGAGATAATATCACTCTCAGCAGTATTGCTGCCCTCAACTGGAGAGTAATGGGTATGACACAAATAACACTTCGGGAAAAAAAACCTGGTGAAAACTTTAGGTCTGTTGCATTGCAAACATAAAACTCGATGTGAAGCTTGGACACGCACTTTCATGAACACAGCTGCACACTAAGCTGATTTAAAAGAACAATATGTTTCGATTTGTACTTTTGAGAAGTCTGTGACCTTAATACATGCAAAGCAGGCTGGACTTAATTTCATGGCAGCACAAATTATGCATCATGGATTATACGAAATACTAAAGATTAAACTGCTTTTGTAATCTTCGTGCCATTGTCTACTCAACCTTGTTTATCTGGAGAGTCTTCATTAAGCTCACATAAAAGATCATAGAAGTTGAAAGCTCTGACACCGGAGTGAAGAGCGTTTTGAAATAGAGCAGAGTGTGCATTAACCCATGAACTGACACATAATCAATAAATAAGTCCACGCCAAGTCGTCTCACAATGACAAATGTAATAATCTGAGTCCATTTCAAAGTATCATGTTGCATTTTAATATACTGTTCACTTCTGCTTTTTTGCAATATAACCAGGACACAATACTTTCACACATATTAAAGAATAAAATGAGAAAGAGACGCATGAAGCCAATAATGGGATCCAAGTCAGTGAGTCAAATGATTTAACTTTGAGAACGGGACTTTGATTTATCATTCTGCAAGGTCTTCATCTCAGAGGTAGAACATTTGAAAGTGCTGCAGTTTAAGTGACGTCTGATAAACTGACCTCTGCAAACAGGAGAGAGAAGAATTTCGATAATGGAAATAAAGTCCCACCCTCCTATTGTCTTCGTGTCCCCCCCCCCCCCCCCCCCCCCCCCCCCCTTATTTTGGTAATCGCGGTCAAATTTGACCGGTCCTGTTTTAACTGCTATTACATTAACACAAAAACCATTAATCATCACCAAATTTCATTTAACACCCTTTCAAACTGTACATATTGTATCAGACTACTGGTATACATGAAAAACTGCAGTAAATATACAAAGAACAGACACTGAACATGTATTGCGTGTGCCAGGTGTGATCCATGTGGGGGGATGGGCACATAAGAGCGGGAAATGTGTCAAATTGTTCTGTGTGTGTGTGTGTGTGTGTGTGTGTGTGTGTGTGTGTGTGTGTGTGCGTGTGTGTGTGTGTGTGTGTGTGTGTGTGTGTGTGTGTGTGTGTGTGTGTGTGTGTGTGTGTGTGGTGTGTGTGTGTGTGTGTGTGTGTGTGTGTGTGTGTGTGTGTGTGTGTGTGTGTGTTTTATCTGATCCGGATGGTTACTAATTCCTTTTCTTTATGGGAACACCATTGGTGTTTCAAAGTTGACTAAATCATCCAAAATGCAATGAAAGTGGTGATCAGCAATTCTCTATGTTCAAATGTCTACTGTGAAGGATATCATAAAGCCTGAATGCAATCGAATGTAAAACAAAAAAGTTATGATTGATGAAAGTAGTAAATCGGTCAGATTTGACCCGAAGACAACAGGAGGGTTAAATAATGAAGATATTTTGCTGTAGAGCTGCAACTATTAGTCATGAACCTTTATCTTAATCAACAGAAAAGTAATCACCTATTTTTTTTAATCATTTAATCGTAATTGTAATGACAGCAAAATGCTGTTTTGGGAATCTTATATCTGGAGAGTTCCTGTTTTTATATCATATTAAAGTAAATATCTTAGATTTCAGACTGAAAAAAATACATTTTTAAACTTCACCTTGCACTTTGAGAAACGTAAATTAACATTTAAAAAAATGTATTGACGTTTTATAGAGCAAAGACTATTACATTCATCAAGAAAATTATTTGTCTTCATAGAAATTAATCTTAAAATACGACTTAAGTCCCAGGTAAATACAAACTAAATATTAAATTGATCTGATGCAAGATGATGCAGTCAGCTGAAATGTTCCACGAAGGAAAAATAGACATACCGTTGATTTTGTCTAGGTTTTAAAAGATGTGCTTCATCTCTCCAATACAATAAAAGTGAAAGTACTTCGTTGGTGGTAGTCACTGCAAGAATGGAAAGCATACATCTTAAACATTCAATATCAACACCAACAACAGTTTCCCTGAAATGATCAGGAGGTTTCACAGGGGCTATGTTCTCTAATACTGAGTTAAACACTCTGGATTGTACCGCAGCTGAAAGGTCACACATTTCTTAACAATTTTGCAATGAGGGAGTGCCAGCAAGTCAAAATGACTGTGACCGACAGGTGCTGCACTCTAAAAAAAAATACGCCGGCTCTACTTAAATAGATTGAGGTAACAATTTGCGTTGATCTTTTTAAGTATTTCCAATTTAATCGATTATTAAATTAATCCGAGTACCCATTTATAATCTGATTAACTCAATTAGTTCAGTACTACAAACATAATTTGCTTTCAACTTTTAAAAACTAAATTAAGTTGAACCAATTTAACGGATTAAGACGGAGTGATATTAAGTTGCATTTTGTTTAATTTAAGCTATTGTAATTTATTTATTTAAATCCATACTACTCAAAAATGTCCATGCAAATTGTTACCTTAATTTGTTTGAGTATTAGAAACTCATTTCTTTGAGTCAAAAATAACATACACATTTAAGTTCCACTTGTTAACAGTTTATTTTAAAATGTTCGTTACACAATGACCTTTTTATAACAAATGTTCTCAAATATGAAATAAAAGTAAATACAAAAATTAAAATAAAGGCATGAACGTCAACGTTTTTAACATCTGCTTTAGGTAGTTCAGGTTGAGTGTGTATTAGCCCCATGAGCATGGCACAGGCTCTGGTCGCATCTGAGATCTGAAGGACTTCTGTTCCTTCAATCCCTATTCTTGCATCCGCAGCCCTGGTCAAGACAGTCTTCAGCACCTCATTGCTAACTTCCACTTCACCATCCTGGAATAAGTAGATTAGAAAATACATTTCAGTGTTTTTGGTGCAATCAGATTTGAAAACATTGCATTGTGTTTCAGGTTAACACAAGTTACAGTATGATTTAAGCATCGTATTTACTTACTTAAGTTGTCCTTGAAGAGATCCTCCTTTTCACGAAGACACACCACCAAGCACCGGATGGCAACCTCTCTTATTCTTTCCACCGAATCATCCTTAAAAAGGAGAACATCTTAATGTTGAGAAAGAAAAACAAAGGCTTGTTTGCAAAAACTGAACATGCCGAGCATTGTCAGTTGCTGTTCATATTTATTTTAAATAAGTTTTTATCAAATGTAAGGTTAATTCTAACAAGAAAATGTATATATACATCTGTATTACAAATAATGAACTTTGACTGCAACTATGAAACAAAGGACACAGGAGGATACAAACAGCTAGCTAATCAGTATGCATGCATGCTACAGTAGCTTAAAACAAGTAGCTAGTGACTATACCTTACAGCTTGTGTTACACTGTATATGCAGTAAGCAGCTGTTGTAAATTAAGCTGAACAAAAATAGCTACTTACCAGGTAACTTGATAGATTATTAGGTTAAAAGCCTGTTGTTCCACTGCTCAAGAGTTCCACTTCCAGGATGAACGCAGATTGCTCCAACTCAACATGCGGTCTAGCAAAGTCCGGGCAAGTCCAAGCGTGTGCTCAGTTTTGAAACTATACCGTTGAAACTCAAAAGATATGAGTTACTCTAATTGAGTATATCCCTATAGTTGAGTGAACGCAGAAATATTTTTTCAAAATCATTACATTTGTAAGTAACATTTATTTTTGTTCTTTTTCAGTTTGAGCGACTTATTAAAATGAGTTGTAAACTAACTAAAATAAGTTGAAAACGGTTTTTTTTTAAAGTGGAATCTACTAACTTTAGAGTGCCCAACAGCCCAAAACACTTCCATTAAGGAAACGCACTGAAGCTTCAGAAAAGATGCAATTATAAAAACACAAATGTGTCAACTTTATAACCCCCAAACAGCAACAAGTGCTCTGGTCCCAGCTGTGTATCACCTTTGAGTATCGCCTGGAAACAGCTTGTTTTGTGTTTTGAGCTTCTGGCAGCGTGATTTTTAATTGCAATGTTTTGTATTTGCAGTGTTTTTTGTTAGCCTGTGCACGTTTCGTCAAGTTGGTTTAGATGTTACCTCAATGGCATGTGTTTTGGCACATTTGTGTTTTTATATTTGCATGTTTTGGGCCTTTTATAACGCGTTAGCACCTGTTGGCCACCGTGGAAAATAGTGTTAAGACAGAAGACAGACAGAAGAACCACATATCTCCACACACATGTTCAATATGTAAAATGTTGTATCCTCCAATTCATAATGCAGTTACCTACAGGTTGACGTATTACACCTCACAATTCCACAGGCTCCCGTATAAATTAAATAGTATAACTTTATAAATAGTCTCTGAGAAGGTCACATGTTGCAGATGCCACAATGTAAAAGTCAAGCTGTATATCATGTCGTGTGTTTGGATGATGAAGCAGCAGTAGACCTTGGTACAAGCGATCAATAGAGCACCTGCAGAGGATGATGCACTGCATAAAGAGATAACACAGGTGCAGGTGTGTGTGTGTGTGTGTGTTGTGTGTGTGTGTGTGTGTGTGTGTGTGTGTGTGTGTGTGTGTGTGTGTGTGTGTGTGTGTGTGTGTGTGTGTGTGTGTGTGTGTGTGTGTGTGTGTGTGTGTGTCCTGGTGTGTGTTTCATACCACATGTCAGAGCTACATTGAGAAATGTGTGGATTGGAGGTGAATCTATGGAGAAAACTTGATCTTTGTGAGAGTCTCACTCCCCCCACCATTTTCCCGAAGGCATGCCACCTCCATCGCTGTCAACACGGGCGAGATTAAACGCGGTTCAGCAGTGAACAAGGGGATTGAAGCAGGAATGTGAGGAATGTGGAGGAAAGAAGTTGAGGAGGAGGAGTGCTTGGAGCTGTGCCCATTTTATTCCTGCACACCTGGCAGCTGTTTCGGAGAGTACAGAATATCTATTGATACAGATCTGCTTTTTGTCCGATAGGAGGCTTACACGGTACAAATCGCCAGAGATGGCAACAGTACACACATCCTTTACTCAAGTAGAAGTACAGATACTCGTGTTTAAAAATACTCTGGTAAAAGTAGAAGTACTGACTAAACTTCTTTACTCAAGTAAAAGTAAAGAGGGCTTTGAAGTGTACTTCAGTAAAAAGTACCCATAACTAGCAGCTGTTTTAAAGAGTACCTGACCTCCCTTTATATTAATAGAACAATAATGTCATTGTTAGCTAATGAATGTTTCCATGCTGAACAACGGCAACATGACAACGTTTTCATTGGTCCCTCTTCTTTAGAGAAGACCAGGAAATGATGGATACACGGATCGTGTTCAAATCAATAGGCACGCAATGACTCTAAATAATAATGATCACGCCACCAAACACACATTCAAACTAAAGGAACCAGCCTGTTTGGGAAATGTAAGAAGTAGAAAGTACAGGTATTTGGGTTCAACATGTAAGAAGTAGAAAGTACAGGTATTTGTGTTCAACATGTAAGAAGTAGAAAGTACAGGTATTTGTGTTCAAAGTGTAAGAAGTAGAAAGTACAGGTATTTGTGTTCAACATGTGAGAAGTAGAAAGTACAGGTATTTGTGTTCAACATGTAAGAAGTAGAAAGTACAGGTATTTGTGTTCAACATGTAAGAAGTAGAAAGTACAGGTATTTGGGTTCAACATGTAAGAAGTAGAAAGTACAGGTATTTGTGTTCAACATGTAAGAAGTAGAAAGTACAGGTATTTGTGTTCAACATGTAAGAAGTAGAAAGTACAGGTATTTGAGTTCAACATGTAAGAAGTAGAAAGTACAGGTATTTGGGTTCAACATGTAAGAAGTAGAAAGTACAGGTATTTGGGTTCAACATGTAAGAAGTAGAAAGTACAGGTATTTGTGTTCAACATGTAAGAAGTAGAAAGTACAGGTATTTGTGTTCAACATGTAAGAAGTAGAAAGTACAGGTATTTGTGTTCAACATGTAAGAAGTAGAAAGTACAGGTATTTGTGTTCAACATGTAAGAAGTAGAAAGTACAGGTATTTGTGTTCAAAATGTAAGAAGTAGAAAGTACAGGTATTTGTGTTCAAAATGTAAGAAGTAGAAAGTACAGGTATTTGTGTTCAAAATGTAAGAAGTAGAAAGTACAGGTATCTGTGTTCAAAATGTAAGAAGTCAAAGTAAAAAGTCGTCAGAAAAATAAGTAGTGGAGTAAAGATACCAGAACAATGTACTTAAGTACAGTAACAAAGTATTTGAACTCCACTACTTCCCACATCTGGACATCTGGGGGTTATTAGGGGGGAAGGCATGGCATGCTGCCTGGCACACTGTCATCATATGATAACTTATAGTTATTAAAGGGAACACTCAGCGGTACCTTCAGAAACCTCTCTGTCATTCCTCCAGCCAGGTGGTCCTCACTCATGATGTCTGAACTCATGATTGATACTGCACCCCCCACATTTACCTTGCTTTACATCACAATGTTGCTGAGACAGCTTTATTATAATATAGGTTACTGGTTATCCAAGTTTTCTGTGTCTCACTATGGGTGTATGCCATAGATTGCAGATAAGAAGTGGACGTAGTCACCATAACGTCACCCAATGTATTTTGAACTTCTGCTTTGAAGCCTTGTTTGGCATTTTTGATCATCAACATCTCGGTTTTTTTACCCAAAAGGATGGAGCTATGAGTTGAACTTTGAGTTTAGGCATTATAAAAAACTGTTAACAAACTGTCAATCAAAAGCTAGCCTTAAAGCATTCAATGCTTTATTATTTATTTTACTCTGACCATGATTTACACATTTCAAATCATACCATATGGAAATAAACTAGAACTCACTGATTGAGACCAAAAACTTCTGAGCAAAATGTTTACTTGTGTAAAAAATCAAGTGAGAAGTGGGGTCATTTTCTCGTAGACATAATATGCAATCTGACTTCTACTTGCAACTAGTGGACTCTCCCCCTGCTGGACATTAGCGATAATGCAAGTTTCTTGGCTTGGTATAAACTGTATAGAGAGGCGAAGTCCCGCCCATCTACTTCCGACCCATGGGACCTTATTTCGGAAAAAGTATGTATTGAAGTCAATGGAGAGAGAAAGATTATCTCTCGATCCCGTTTGAATTGTGCCATGAATTACACATATGATGTTTGTCAATTTAAAAGATAATTTCCATGTCAAAAAAGTCACAGTTTGTCGTAAAACTGTTGAAATATAAGATTATGAAAAATACGCAACTAGAAAGACTACAAATCCCAGAATCAAGGTCCCGCATGCTGGCTCTTAGGAACCGACTAACTCCCCTTGTGTGTATGTACAGCTCTCAACATGCCCAGACTTGGAGTGATTTTCACCTCTTTTAATACTTTCCGCCTCATTCTGAAAAAAAGAAGTGAAATGTGCCAACGTGACGGCCGTCTTGGTGTGTGGTGCGAGACGGGAGATGTAGTTCATTGAGCGTTTTCACACAAAAAAAAGTGTTACTTCACAGTTTTACGACACATTTTAATTTTTTTTACTTGCAAAATTATCTTTTAAATTGACAAACATTATATGTGTAATTCGTGGCACAATTCAAACGGGATCCAAAGATAATCTTTCTCTCCCCATTGACTTCAATACATACTTTTTCCGAAATAAGGTCCCATGGAGGTCCACCGGAAAGGGAGGGACTTCGCCTCTCTATATACTGTTTATAGGGGGGGTAGTGGTCTGAATCAACACCAAATAACCTTCCATTACTTACAGAATTCTTAAAAATGATAACAAATAATTTGAGCTCTTATCAGAAACATGCGCCATGGTGTGCGCTAACAATTTGTCACGTTATTTTAGAGCCCAATCAAATTGTGAAAGGCACACTTTTGGTAAAGGTATAAGGAGTACAATTTCCCAAATTGCCGCTTCCCCGTGACGTTTGAAAAGCTTGTTCTGGACACAAAAAGAGTTATTTAAATTGTTAAAAATTGCATCTTATATTTACAATGCCTTTCCTAGAGCCATTTCTTTAAGGAAAATAAACGTTTCTGTAAAATTCAATTTGTCTAAATCACTGGTCTTCAATAGAACAAAGAAAAGGCCCTTCTCTTGTTTTTGTCTGCTTTTCCAGAATGTAGGAACTAAACACATTTATTTCCCGACAGCATCGTGGTAACTGTCCCAGACGTCAGCTTCAATTTAAACTTTATTGTTCACAAGAGAAAACGTATCTTGCTGCGGGGTATATAGCCGCACAGACAGTTCGAAAAAACACAATAAAATACATTAAGTGACAACAGGAAATCTAGAGTATGCCATTCCTAAAAGCATCATCAGCTCCCAGAGGCTAAATGTTAAATCAGTCGGGGCATCTAGAGCATTAGGAAATACAGGAGTTATTCAGTCTGGTAGACCTGGCTGTTGGAAGTCTAAATCAGATATAGGAGCTTCAATTCTTCAAACAGAGGATACAGAGCACATTGTAAAATGCCTTGAGCCTTAGAAATTGCTCTCTTACAGGAAGATATGAGATTTATTGGGCAGTTTAACCTCAATGGTCTCGCTGGCA